AGCTTCGAAGCGAGCAACCAGCAAAAGGCAGCTAGCTCATCAGCGACGCTCCTCGGTATGGTACTTTCGTCCATCTCCAAAGCTCTGACCTGACGCACCGCAGACAACCCGAGCACATCATCCCACACCTTGATCCTGCTCCACACCACAAGCATCGCTGCAAGCTTGAGCAGCAGCATCACGATGGCACCCACTCGCTCAACTGCCACCCCCTCTCCCGCACCAGGAAGCGCACCGAGCGGTATCCCAACCTCGATGCGTCGAGCACTAAAACCTTCCGAAGATCGTACGAGGCCAAGCGAGCGCGAGAGCAGCAGCAGCAGCAGCGCCAGCAATCGATCGTCCAACACCTCTCAAACACCTCGACCCGCTCAACGATCCGGCACTCAAATTCAAAGTCAGGTCAGAGCGGCAGCAGGGTCCACTGTACCTAGAGGTAGCGCGTTGGCAAACAAGACGATGAGTTCCACATCGGGCGATAGTCCTTCTAGCGCTGCTGCTACGAGAAAGACGCCCGCGAGGTCGGCTATGGCCAGTTGCACCACCACGCCATCCGCTAGAAGGATGATGCAAAGCAACACTGGCCACTCGTCGTCGGATACTTCGAGCTCTAGAGCTAAGCTTACGAAAGATGAAAAGACCAGCGCGAGTGCGGCCACGCCGAGAGCACCCACCGCCAAGAAGACTGTAGCGACGAGCGCTGCTCGTTCCAGGATCGCAGCGGGCGTGATGGACGAAATGGACGAGACGGAGAATGAGCCGGTGAAGGTGAGCAGAGCGGTGAAGAAGTGCTTTGATGGATCGGGTTGGAGTACTGTGGAGTATACGTGACTTCGCATACATGCGCGCATGTACGCACCCAGTCCCTCGAGCTCCCATTTGCTGTGCAGCGTGCTGACCAAATCCTCATCTTTTAGGCATACCTGCGCATCCGTCCTCAAGCTCACCAAGGAAGTGGAAGTGGAGCACAAGCAGCTGCTCTGTACTTGGAGCTTCTAAGCGAGACCGAGATTCTCGTCACTCCTCCTTCCAAGCGTGCCGGCGTATTGACCGAAGATGCGCACTACTACAAGTATCACAGAGTCTTTGCGCCCGAGCTTCAAGTGCCCAATCAGCCTGCCGTACCAGCTCTACCAGTGCTGGAACAACAGGCAGATTTCTTCAAAAAGACGACACTGCCTTTGGTCAAGTCTTTGCTCAGCGGATCTAGCGGTCTCATCTTTACGTATGGCGTGACGAATAGCGGTAAGAGCTACACTGTCCAGGGCGTACCTGGCGAAGGAGGCGCTGGGATCTTGCCCAGAACGGTGGATGTGATTTTCAACTCCATCGATGGATTGCAAAGCGAGAGTGACGTGAGTCCCAATCCCGTCGCTTTCCAATCGCCTCGCCCTTCTTGTTGATGCCATTGATTGACGATTTCGCTGTTACCCTGGCTCCTCTTTCACCGCCAGCTTCGACCAAAAGGCTACTCCGGCGTGGAACGCATGGCAGCTTCGCCCACGGAGGATGCAGCACAGGGGAACATGGACAGCGGCATCAATCCCTACGCCTTCAGATCCTTTGCTCGCATGCTACAAAAAGCCAACAGCGCCTCTCAGCTCTTTCCAGCCGATGGTCTCGCGCAGTGGGAAAAGGAAAAGTGCAAGATCCAAGTGGACAGAAATTGGCGTTACAGCATCTGGGTGTCGTACGTAGAAATTTACAAGGAGAAAATCTTCGACTTGTTGGATGTTGACCCGACGGATCAGTCTGCTACGGGCGGAGCGACCACCACGTCGGCTCGAATGTCGGCTCACGCTACGAATGCCGGACTGACGAGATCTGGAAGTCGTTTCGCTTCCAGCTTCAGCATCAGCAATTTGGCGTCCGCCAGCTCTGGACACTTTTCGTCGGACGGAAGACGTCAGATAGCTTTCGATAGAGCTCCGCTCTCGTTGGTCAAGGATCCAGAGACGGGCAACAAGTACGTGCATGGAGCGAGAGAGATACGCGTGAGGAACGCGGAAGAGGCTAGATCTCTGATTGTGCGAGGAGGACAGAATAGGGCCATGTTTGCCACCGCTACCAACTCCACCTCCAGTCGATCCCACGCCATATTTACGCTCCGCGTGGTCAGGGAACACGGAAGCATGAAGCACGGCGACAGGTCGGACGTCACCACCGCAAGACTGAGTATCGTGGATCTAGCGGGAAGCGAGAGGCAGGCGAATAGCAAGACGGAACAACCTCAGTTGAAGGAAGCTGGCCAAATCAATCATGGACTGGTTTGCCTCGGGCAGTGCCTCAAGGCTCTGAGAAAGAACCAAGCGAGAGCGGCAGCTTCTGTGCAGGCTCTCCATCCTATCGCTTCTGCCCGCATGGAAGGTGATTCGGCCCCAAGCAACGGCAATGGAGATGCTGCCAGTGAAGCTCCAAAGAGGATAGCAAGGAGAAGACCCTCCATCGTGCCTTTCAACCACTCCAAGTTGACAGAAGTCTTTTCCTCCTTTTTCACGGGAGATGGACAAGCGGTGATGATCCTCAATCTGAACCCTCATACCGAGTACAGAGAAAATTATCCGGTATTGGAGATGAGCGCTTGCGTGCAGGACGTATCTACTAGCGTACGCACCAATCCTCAGTTGCTCGTCGTACATCCCAGCATTGCAAGACGCGCCGAGCTGTTCAATCATTCTCAAAGCAATTTGGCAGGTGGCGATACGAGTCGGCTCAGCGCTTCACCAACGAAGAGAATGCTGCCTAGCAGCACTACTGCCCTGGCCAACTTGGCAGGTGCGAGAAACAAGAAAATGTCAAATGCCAGCGTGGGCACGTCGACGGTGGCCCTCGCTAGAAAGGACGCGTCGGCACAAGCTCAAACGCAGACGCAGACGCACGCACAGATTCGTAAGCAGCAGCAGCAGCCCAGCTCGCACCAGAACAAGGATTTGTACGACGATGAGGATGTGGAGATTACGATTGTGGAAGGGCAAGGTGCAGAGGATGAGGATGAAGAAGGCGTCGATCCTTTTGTTGCAAAGCTCAAGGAAAAGTACGAGGAGATGTACGATTTGGTAAGTGTGCGCTGCTCCATACCTCTAGACATTCTGCTTCTCTCTTTCGCGCGCTTGGAAGACGCCCCTGGACTGACCCGAAGCACATCCCCTGTTGACCGCGAATTGCAAACAGCTGTGCGAAGCGGAAGAGCGCCTGGCTACGATCGAAAGCGATGTGCGAGCAGAGATGGCGGACGAGATGACGCGCAGACTGCAAGAGATGGAGCTGGCCTACTCTCAGAGATTGTTGGCCGATGCCGAGGACAATGAGAACTTTGTCAATAGGAAAATCGACTTGCTCTTAAAGGCCAATCGAGGTGCTGGTGCGAGCAGCATTAGAAGCTCGAGGATGGCGCCTGCTGAAACGCCGAGAAGGAAGCAGGAAAGGCAAGATGCGGAAGAGGTCGAGGCTACGCTCGCTGTGAGTGTTTCTTTGAGTGCATCAAATGTGCTCCGCGTCTTCCTGCTGCTCACACAGGCAAAACCACCGTCGACCTTCTGTCGAATAGGCGCTGCAGGAGGAAGATTCGTTCGTCAGCCAAGATGAGGCGAGCGAGAGCGGAGCGGACAGTTCGAATAGCGCTTCTACGCTGTTGAAGCCTGGACCGGGAGCAAAGCCGAACAAGCGATTGGCTCGTATGAGTTTGGACCGCGAGCAGAACAAGCAGGCCGATTCTAGCTTGTTGAGCAGTGATAGCTTCGAAGGAGAAGATTCCCACGACGCGGAGCTGGACGAGAGCCGTGATGAGGAGGAGGCGGAGGAGGAGACCTTGGATGAGGAAGACGAAGACGAAGGCGGGGAGGGAGATTCGACTGAAGAGGAGGAGGAGGAGGAGCAAGAAGAATTTTCGATTTCGATCAACGAAACGACGGATGAGTCTTTTGATGCGACGCAAGAGTCTGTCGAGTCAGAGTCCTCGTTCGAAGAAGCACCGCGCGCTGCTCGAAAGAGTGCGAGTGCGAGTGCGGGAGCAAGAAAGAGCGGTAGAGCTACTCCGGCTGCTCATGAGGGCAAGACTAGAGCAGTGACGGCTAGGAACAGCGCCAAGAAGAGCGACGTGCCTTTCAAGGAGCAGAAACAAGTCTCTGCGGACGCGAGCATGAGCGACACGAGCCTTTTGATGGAAGAGCAAGCCAGTAAGGGCAAGAAGAAAAAGTGAGAGCGAAATGCAGACTGGTCCAGATCGATTGCACTTGCTGACATTGTTCGAAACATCTTTTTTGCGATCAGGAACTTGCGAAAGCAGGCGGCTCTCGATGAAGATGCGATGATCCAGCAGCTGGCTGATTCTAGCCTTGTAGACGCCATGCAGCGCACAACTAGCAGCGGTCACGTCGCTCATCGTTTGCGCTGAGCAAAGCGCTCGCTACACGGTACGCCAAGCGTCGATACTGTGTTCGAGCACGTGGTTTCCCACGTATCAACTAAGATCCGAACAGCACGCTGCAATGAGACCCATTTGATGACACAAATTCGAGTGCCTCGATGCACCGTTACAGCGCTGAACGTGATCGTGTGTAGGTGCGTGCGAGCTCAACTCCCGCCTACTTGCTCGTCCAAGAACTTCTTCCACTCTTCTGCACCAAAGGAGGACGAGCTGGCGCCAGAGTAGAGTAGAGCAGTGTCAGAATGGACTTGTCCGCGACGTTCGATCAATTCGTCGCGACTTACATGGCAGGCTGAACGAGACCATCCCAGACTATGATGCGTGCAGCAGCCCAGGCGGGCCAATCAGCCATCGTCTCCCACACCCTTCCTGAGCCTCTGCCCACTCACCAGCGGTAGGAGTAACGTGAATTCCATTTTGTCTCCCCATCTTGACGCACCACTTTACATCTCCAACCACTTGAGATCCCGCATTACCTTCCTTCTCCACCCTAAGGAGGTTCTTGATGGCTTGGCCCAAGGGAAGACCCTTCTCGGGAGCTTGCAGCAGAGGTCTGCCTTTGGTCACTCTGGGAGCTTCGCCGAGCGTTGAAATGACCAGCGAGGCGAGCTCTGCTCGGATCTGGATTTTGCCCACAGAGATGTAGAGTCAGAAGATGACTCGCAAGTGGTAGGGAAGAATGAGGTGGAGCCTATCCTATGCTCTTCAGAGCTCACCTGATCAGCATTCTTGTTCTTCGCAGGTCCATCGAAATACTTTTCCTGCTCCTCGAACAGAGCCTTTGCAAAGACCCAAGCAGCATTCTCCTCAGCATTGCAAAGTTTTTGCCATTCCGCTTCGTACTCCGAACTTGTACCTCTTGGTTTGGCCAATCTGGCCACCGCAACTGCGGCTTCGGTGAGCAAAGGACTGGTACTGTGCCATGGTTGAGGATAGGGACGTAGGAGAATGCGAACTTTGTTGTTGTATTCTCCAGAAGTGCTGATCAGGGGCAAGAGGTGCTCATTCACACCGGACAGTTGCTTCTTGCTAAACGGACACGTAAAGTCTTGAGCAGCGAGACCGAGCAGATTGTGATTGTCAAGCTTGTGTCATGCATGCCTGTCTGGACATGAAGGTGCGATATCCGGCTCGCCTACTCACCCACGTACAACTCGAGACAGTGAGGTGCCTGAGGGTCCCCAATCGCCAGGGCTCGCAGTCCAGGTGGAAGAGCCATCGTTCAGCTGGCTGATTGAGCCTGTATGCCCTGCAAAATGAAAAGAGATATGATCTTCCGGTGCTGGAAATTCGTTGCAGAATCACGAATGTCGAGGTGGTGGAGATAGGATGACACGTTTGGATGCCGGGCAGCCCTGAGCAGCAGGCAAAGCAAGGTCGCAAGGTGAGCCGCGTCGCGGGAGGGCTCATGACGTGCTCCGTGCGTGAGCCGTCACGTACGCGGGTGGAGGTCGGAGGGCTAGCTGGTTCTCGATCATTCTGAACAGTAACACAGATCCCCGAGCCCAGGCAAGATCGTTGTGATTCACAACTGTCATGTTCACTTCCGGACTCAACACCCCTCATCGCATGTCGTCGGATGCACGTCCTTGCGATACGAGACTTGGAGAGGCTTGCGAAAGCGATTCAAGCGGGTGGACAAAGACTACACACGAAATGCAACAACAGCGACAACGAAATGATTGCATTGCTCTCAAGCCTAGTGCTACGACATCTACCCTTTCTCTCATGTTTCCGCCCTGTTGGCTGTTCAGTCATCTTCACTCCATCCAGGATTCTGGTACAAGAGGGAGATACCTGGATTGATGGACAAAGGCAGGGCGAGTCAGCGCGAGGTCTGCTATATGCACCAAGAGCCACAACTTACCTTCGAGGACGTTGCCTGCTTGCAACCACCGAGCATCTGCCAGTTCTGCACGCTCGCCCACGCCCATCCGTACGGGCGTCGTGTGCGTCTATACGTGCAACGGCAGAGGCGATGGTATCAATACGAGAATACTAGGCAACCGCATCTGCGCGCACGAGCGTGGCCAGTTC